TTACTATTATTATTATTACTATTATTATTATTATTACTATTATTATTATTGCTATTATTATTACTATTATTATTATTATTACTATTATTATTACTATTATTATTACTATTATTATTATTACTGTCATTATTATTACTATTATTATTCCATCACTGCCTCTGTTCCATGTATTTTTGTCATTGTATTTCGATTTATTTGAACAGCTATAAATTCATATGCCGGTGGTTCGCAAATAGCGCAGCATGACAATTTTTTCAGCTGCTTTGACCATCGTTGCGTCGGCTATGATGGTCATGCAGCTAGCACTCCCATCATGCATTTCGTGTTCCGAATGAATTACCATCTCAGTGGCTTTTCCAACAAAAACGTTTCGCAGTGCTTTAGCCATTTCTAGATATTCGCGGTGGGTATTTTTGATCATCACTATCTTGACCCGAACGTTGCTATCCCTAAATCTCGACAAGACATTATACCTCCACTGCTTTCATAAATGCTGAATGGGATTGTATACGACTTTTTGGATCGAAACATTCTTTTCCTTTGTTTTGACTATAATTTCTGTCTTTCCATTAATTCATAGTTCTTAAATATCTTGCAATTACAGTAAGATATTGAAGTTACAAAAAACTTTGTCAGCCCGGTGGTTGTTAGAGATATTTGTTTCGCCATATCTGAAATTTTTTTTTTGTAAATTATGTATATCACACATTTTTGTGGCTGATGAAATGCGCGAAAATTTAGCACGCTCATATTGTATTTATCATTTGTTTGCATCTTGTCGAATGAGTAGTTTTATTGAAAGCATGAATATTTTTATGCGTTGGCTGCTGCCGCTTTAGGAATAGATGTAAAATGGTATCGAAATGGTTGTTTGCAGGAGCATGGGTAATTGCTTCTCATCGCGGTCGACGCGCCAGATGTCGCCATCGGTCTCGGGCATTCGCAATGAACGTGCATCGCCGAAATTCTCCGCTGATCGGAGCAGCGTGGAACCGCTCAAAGAAAGCAACTGCAATGAAATGCTAACGCCTCGAAGACAGGAAACACATGGTGGCCCACAAGGTACCGCTTTCTCATCGTATTTCTCCCCTCCCCTGCTTTTCTTTCATCCAGCATCGTGTCTTTTGCATTTATTTTATCTGATTCGGACATCTTATTGCGTTTTCCACATCGACTTCCGAAAACTATTTGACAACTAATTACTTCGTTTTCTGTTTTGCACAAATTGACACGTAACTTTTGAATCAGTAAGATGGATGGTAGCATTTCGAACGAACCCGTTTTGCTGTGACCATTTGGACAGCACGTGTGGATAAATTCACAGATACTGTAAAGACGAAGATATTATTGCATGTATAGTTTGTACTCTAAAAATGAGCGAATTTCTGACGATGGGG